TTGTTGTTGTTGGTGGTGGTAGTGTGTGTGTGTGTGTGTGTGTGTGTGTGTGTGTGTGTGTGTGTATTTCTCTTCTTTAGATTCTGTACCTTTATACATTTTTCTTCTTTCAGTTGGGGAAATTTTCTTCTATGTTTTTGTTGAATACATTTTCTGGCTTTTTGAGCTGGGATTCTTCTCCTTCTACTATTCCTATTATTCTTAGTTTGGTCTTTTCATGGTGTCCCAGGTTTTCTGGATGTTTTGTGTTAAGAATTTTTTAGATTTAACATTTTCTTTGGCCTATCAATCTATTCCTCTATTGAGTCTTCAACGCCTGAGAGTCTGCTATCACTTATATTCTGTTGTTGATGCTTGCACCTGTAGTTCCAGTTCACTTACTCAGATTTTACATTTCCAGAATTCCCTCAATTTGTGTTTTCTTTATTGCTTCTATTTCTAGTTTCAGTTCTTGAACAATTTCTTTTACCTGCTTGTTTTTTCTTGGCTTTCTTGGTATTCTTTAAGGGATTTATTAATTTCCTCTAATTTTTTTGTTTGTCTTTCCCTCAATTTCTTTAAAGGATTTTTTTCATTCCTTCTTTAAGGACCTCTACCATCTTCATAAAGTTATTTTTAAGGCCATTTTCTTGTGCTTCAGCAGCATTGGAATGTTCAGGTCTTGCTGTCAGAATAGCTGGGTTCTGGTAGTGCCATATTGTACTTTCTGTTATTAATTGTGTTCTTACACTGGCATTTAAGCTTCTGGATTTGGGGTGGTTAGGTATAGGTGTTGATTGCTGCATTTCTCTTTGTTGGATGGATGTTTTGTTCTTCGGTTTCTGCTTCCTTTCTGGTCTTCTGGCCTAAGTGGCCAAGGGTTCTGGTGACTGGCAAGTCTTCAGGTCCAATAGGATGTCTCCATTGGGTTTTTTTTGGGGGGTGGGGGTGGGACAAATGTCCCTAGATCTGGCCTGGCCTCTGGTAAAGCCAACATCTTTTTCCAAAGTTGTAGAATATGGAGCCCAGGGGAGGGGGTGCTGTCTGAAGTTATTGGACAGGCTTTAAGGAGTGTTAGTAGGCATTGGGCAGTGTCTTATCTGGGGTCCCTAGAACCAGCTTGGCCTCTGGTAAAGCTGCTAGGGCTGTGGGCTAGGGTATGGAGCCCAGGGGAGGAGGTGCCATTGGGGCATGTTGGGAAGGCTTTAGGGGGTGTTAGCAGGCTGTGGGTGGTGTTTCCCGTGGGATTCCCTCTGTGATCCAAAGACAGAATTGCTGGTGCACCATGGCCAAGCCTGGGGGGCTGGGCCACATGCCATCTTGCTATGGTATTTCTCTCATACGTTGTTTTTCTGGTAATAAACTCCTGTAGGTCTCCAGCAACTCAGCCCACGAGGACAGCTCTGAAAGCAGAGTTACTTGGTATCTTGTAGTCAGGCCTTTCATGTCTACTATGGCCCAGCAGTATGCCAACAGCTTAAGGTTTGTTTTTTATTTTATTTTATTTATTTTGTGTGTGTGTGTGTGTGTGTGTGTGTGTGTGTGTGTGTGTGTGTAATTCTTCTCACTTCAGAATCATAGGAGCTTGCACTGTTATTCACATGCTGTGTCTTCTCCTTTGAGCCACTGTTCCACTGTATCTCTCCCTGTCATTAGTATCTCTAGTAGTCTGGGACTTCAGAGTCTTATGACCCAAGCAGCCAAGCTGTGAGCACTGTAGCCAGAGTTTTCTGCAGAGCTCTCCTGTATTGGGGACTTTGTCAATGGCAGAAACCTGTCTTGGCACCTGGCACATGAGCTAGAGACTTTTCCCAACACAGACTGTGCTGTCCCTGGAATTGATGCCAGGCCTAGGGCTTCCTGTGCTAAGGGGGAAGCTAGAGGTGATGGTTCATCTTTGAGTTTCGAGGTACATCCTGGCACATTGAGACTTCAGAACTCTTGTAACAGCAAGAGAGTGTTGGAACTGTAACATCTTTAGTCCTTTAGAGTTTCTGCTTTGTGTCATCTGGTACGTATGTGTCTTAGGAAGCTCTCTAGTGCACTAGTCACTTTTTATTCATTAGCCCAATTACAGAATATCATTGATGTAATCGATCATTGTGAAGTCCTGTGAGACATGCAGATGGTTCAGAACTCTTTGGATTATATCATCACGGGGTGGGGGTGGGCAGGAGAGTTAACATAGCTTTGGGACAAAAGTGTATATCATCCCATGTACATGCAAACTCTTCCTCATCAAATTTTCTGGTGCCAAATTAGTGGCATAGAAAATGCACTTGAGATCGATTTAATTTACTTTCATGAAGATATTGATCATATCTAACACTGTGGCTGGAGGTCAGGCCCTTTGACTACCTCTGTTATTCATTCAGATGACATCTAAGTGACTTCTGACCATTCTGTAACATTACCTAGCTGATGTTGAGTCCCAACATCTCTACTGAGACTATGTCTGTAATGGTCTTGCCTACCCTACCATTAGCCTTGTCTTAAAAAGGAAATCTACCCCTAAACTTTCAAGTACACCTTTCACCCAAGCATTACTTATAAGCTTAGTAACAACACATCTATGGTCCCTTCCCATGGGTGTCTTGGCACATAAGCATCTGGTGACTCTTCCAGCACTACACAGGTATCCACTTCAGAAGTCACACTTCCCAGAGCCTTTGAAGCCTTTTTTCCACTCTGCACTACCAAAATTATGGCATCTCAGTTTTATTCAGTTTGGGCCATCATTTATTTCCAAGCCTCTCAGATCTATACTAGTTGTGCATTCTTACGACCTCTCTGAATCCTTGAAAGGATGCTGAATCTGTAGTTTGAGAGAGTATGTCCACCCATTATATATATATATATACCAATCCAAAGAGTACACCAATCCTACCCAATATTTTTCTAGCCTGCTTAATGGGACACTCACAAACTCCAGACTTAAACACTGCTTCATAGCTCCTGTTAATACATTTGAGTTAAGCATGACAACTTCTTTGGGACTAGAATGTCATCCCCTTCTTTTTTAAATTTTATTTTATTTTATTTTATTTTACAATATAATTTAATTCTACATATCAGCCATGGATTCCCTTGTTCTCCCCCCTCCTGCCCCCCTCCCCTTTCCCCCAGCCTACCCTCCATTCCCACCTCCTCCAGGGCAAAGCCTCCCACAAGGACTGAGATCAACCTGGTAGACTCAGTCCAGGCAGGTCCAGTCCCCTCCTCCCAGGCTGAGCCAAATGTCCCTGTATAAGCCCCAAGTTTCAAATACCCAACTCATGCACTGAGTACAGGACCGGGTCCCGTCATCTCCTTCTTATCAAAGGTCCAACATGTCCCCAGCTGTGTTACATTGGAAATGACACCGAGCTATAAGTCTAGTAGCTGAGAAAACACAAATTTACATGCATATGGAAGGGGAGTGGATTTGGGAGGAATTGGAAGAGGTTGAATATTATGAAAACATATTGTATGAAATTCGCAATTGACTAATTCTTAAAAATGAGAAAAATACACACACACACACACACACACACACACACACACTTCAGTGCAACTAAAGAAGTTTCTAGAAGAAAATGTCAGACTTTTCACACTGATAAAGTATAGGAAAGGAAGAGAAATCCGGGAGTGCCCCAATAGTAACTGCACCCAACATGGAGTGAGGAACCTGACTAAATTGTATTTGCAAATACTTTTCTAGCATTTAAAAATAGTAGAAAAAGGAGAAGTGTTGTTGGGTTATCTGGAAAGAATTGGGAGGAGGAAAAGCTATCATCAGTGTCCTTGATAGTCTTTTGTGAGTCTGACCTCACTTGACCCATCCCAAGGGGAGAGTGGAAAACAATGAAGGCCACTGAGTGCTTATGCTTCCAGACCCTCAGTCACCCATGAGAAGGTGCAGGGAGGGAAGGAAGCTTTACTATTGGTGTCAACCTCAGTAGCTCCTTTACAGCTTTGGGAACCACAACTCTTGAAGACCTAGGACTCTGGGAATTTGTCCCTAAAGGGTCATACGTGCCGAGAGAGTATGGGAGCCACACCAGGAGCTGGTGATAATAGACAGTAACAGCTCTTCTCAGCTCTTGAAAACATTAGTAAAGCAGGGAAGAGTTGAATAATCTATACAAATCAAATTAAGTTTCTTTCTGCTCCAGCTGTTGCTTGTACGGGTTTTCAATACACTTGACCGAGTTATTCAGGATAATATGTGTATCCATTTCCTGTGGCTGATATAACAAGTCATCGTGCACTTCACAGCTCCAAACAGTGGAAAGTTATTCACTTGGAGTTCTGAAGATCAGAGATCCAAGAATCTACTTGTGAGTAGGTCGCAGCCTCTGTGAGTATTTCAGAGGAGTGTTCCTTGACTCTGTCATTTTCTAGTGGCTGTCAGTCTCCTTGAATCATGGCCAGATCACACCAACTGTACTTTTGTCTTCGCGTTGTCTTCTCCATGTGGGAATAAAATCTTCCTTTGCCCCATTTTTTAAAAATTTTTACATTTTATATAGGATCTCACTATGAACCCCAGGCCACCCTGCAGTTCCCAATCCTCCTTGTCTGCTTTCTATAAAGATACTTCTCAACTAGGCATGGTGTTGAACATCTGTAATCCCAGCAGTCAAGAGTCTAAGACAGTAGGATTCCAAGTTCAAGTACAGCAGGGGTTAGATAGGAAGACGTTATCTTAAGACAGACAGATGTCATCACTATCTGATTCTTATCCTCTCTGAAGATAGGGGTAAGCAACAGGCTGTTCCATGCAGTTGACTTCTCAGCAATAAAGAGGAATTTGCTTAGCTCTGTGGGACTCAGGTAAATAGTCCAACTGCAGTAATGAGAACAGGTAACACTGACTAATAATTTATTAGTTTTACTGGAATGTGCTCATTACTTCACATGTACTGTCTTGTCCAATTCTCAGTGCAAGCTTTTGAGGTGGATTTATTCATTCAGGCTCCTTGGTTGCACCCTACTCAAACAAACAAGAGATTTGTTGGAAGGCATCTGGGCTGACTCACCAATCAGAAGAACTGGGCAAACAGGGCTGGGGAAGGCAAGAAGTCAGCTTTGAGAAGAGCAGCCGCAGTTCTGGGTGCCTCTCTGGGTCTATGGTTCCATCTGTGGATAATTACAGAAACCAGCCTTACAGTTATGCAGCCTCTTTCATTATTTTAATCACTGGACTTGCTTCAGATGTACAGCTACGCTGGTACAGGGTACAGGGGGGATAGATGCAAATTACTTTAAAAAACGAGGAAGACAAATAATGTGATGTCTTCATAAATGATACTATCCTCATTTTACAGATAGGAGGCTTGGATTTTGAAGAAATTTACAACTTAAAAATTGTATTAAATTTTTATTTGAACCCAATCTTGCCCACCCCAGAGCCTATACTCTCTCTTTTTTTAATTTTTTATCGATTCTTTGTGGATTTCATGTTATGCATCTTGATCCCACTCATATCTCCGTCCCTTTGAATCTGCCCCATGCCCTTGCAACCTCCCCCAAACCCAAAATAAAACAAAATAAAATTTAAAAGAAAAAGAAAAGGAATATCTCATCATGGAAGCTGTGGTGTGACACAGTGAGTTACACAGTATAATCTTTTGTTCATACACCTTTACCTGGAAGTGTTTGTTGCAATGAATCATTGGTCTGGTTTGAGGCCTTTGGTTTCACTATTGACATTGAACCCTCACTGGGTCTCCTCTTGGATATACTGTTGTCGTCCTGTGTCATGGAGATCCTGCAGCTTTGAGAGTGCAGGACCTGCCCCTTCACATGCTCCAGCAGATCACAGATGGGGTGGATGTTGGGATGGGTTAACTCATAGCGTGCTTCTGGGCCTGGGTGATTGCTGGGTTGGTCAGCCCACTGGCTCTCCCTCATCCTCAACACCAGGGTGAGCTCTCCAGCACTGTCCTGGCTTGTTCACCCTATATAGTAAGCAGCAAGGGGCGGGGCCAGTTCTCCCACACCCACACCACCAGGGCCAGCTCTACTGTGTTGCCCAGGTGAGGTGCAGGGGCCACTCTCCCGGGGGCTGCAGCTGGTGAAAGGCAAAGGCAGCTCTCTCCAGAGCCTGTATTTTTTTTTTTAAAGTAAATTTATTTATTTGTTTATTTTATTCGTAACCCATGCTCTCACCCCTCCATCTGCTTCAACCACAAAAGAGGTTACAAAGCAGTTCTAGCATGAAGTTACCAGGAAGAGCTGAGATATGTGAAGAGTTGCGAGGCTGGCATATTTATTTGTACAGTGGAAGCTGTTCATTTTGAGCAGAGCTGAGTGCTAAAACACTGGGCATGCAGAGTTGCACAGGAACGGTAACCTTTGTGGCCTCCGTGATACCCCAAGAAACAAACTTGAAACAAGTTCACACCTATCTTTATTGAGTTAAAGGAACCAACTGAGAGATAGGTTTCCCCAAACCTAGATCCAACAGCATCAAGACTTCGGTCTTTGTCTTAATCTCTATGTTCTGTGTCCCTCTGTTCTAGTTCCATTCTGGGGCACACAACTTCCGCCCACCACACAGCGGCAGCAGGGTAGACCGTACTAACTCAAAGATGGCACCTCTTTTCCCATCATCCGTGGCGAGTCTTTCAAAGGAATCTGGCTGGTTCTTCACGTTCTAAGTCACAACCCTGGTCAGTCGCTGTGTCTGGGGAAAGTGTTCTCCCATTCTGCCTGTATCTCCTGCTTCTTGTGTTCAATGGGGCCCCATGATTGACAGACACGCTGGGATCGCAGAATGGACTAAGAATATCTCCCTAAAATAAGAGATCTGTTCCAGACAAAGGTGGGGAAAGCCTGGCAGGTAGGAAATTTCTCAGATGACACACAGCACATTGCATGACCCAGAGAATCGAGCCTCATCCAAGCCTTGCCTTTCTCTGCCAGCCAGAAGTGCAAGCTGAGCCTCTGTCTAGAGGAGAAAGTAAAAATGTACAGGAAAACACTTTCTATAAGTCAGTCTACAAAAAAAGTCTGAGGCACCCATCTCCTAATCTCCCTGGCAGCCTGTAACACCATCCCCCTGAACCTCATTTGCACTAAAATTTTGAAACTTGTTGAATAAAAAGCTTTCTGCCTGATTCTTACACACATTAAGAATTTGGTCAATACGAGAGTCTATAGAATGAAAGCAATTTCGGAACACTAATGCAAATAGATTTAGAAGTGGCAGAAATAAACCAGTCTTGTGGTCTGTAAATTGGTCATAAGATACCACCCCACGGTACTCTTCTGGAGCTTAAGAGGGACCACAGAAGTGAAGTCTGTAGCAAGTCATTATTAGTCATGTTTGATGCCTCCCTTTTCCTTCAGCCCCGTCTGTGGAATTAGGATGAAGATCCAGAATCTAGGAAGAGACATCTTTGGGCTTCTGTGAGGAGTTTTATAACAGCTTGAAGACCCTGCACAGTCCCACGAGTTCTCCCTGCCATGACTGAACACTTGTGTTGCCCCCAGATTCCTACGATAGAGATCAGAACTTATGGATGTGACTAAGGTTAAACAGAGCATACAGGGGAAGCTCTGAGGAAGAGTTTTCTTAAAGATAGAGACAGCCGCGGGCTTGCTCTCTCAGTGGGAGGACATGGGAAAGGCATCCAGCTGCCGCGCAGCATCAGGAGAGCCCTCACCAGCAACTTACCCGTGGGAACCCTGCTCTTAAACGTCACAGGCTTCAAAACTACAAGAGAAAACGTTTCTGTCATTGGCGCGTCCAGACCATGCTATTAGCTTGTGGGGGCTGCAGCAGAAAGGAGTCTTCCTCTCTGTAGTCATTAAAACAAGCTGACAACCATCTCTCTCAGACACAGGTTTTCTGTAGGAGGAGAAAGAAAATCACCCCTCAACCAGGGTGTCCAAACTTCAAGTCACCTGAAGTGCTCTTATGTACTGATGCCAAAACAAAACAATAAACCTAAGCCTAAACTCCCTCTCAGAGCAACTGATTTGGTTTCCTGCGTGTATTCTCCTTAAAAGTTGTGTACCAGGTTTTAATTTGTGGCAGAGGTAAAGTAGAGAACTACTTCCTTGGAAGATCTGAGGCCCTTCTGGCTGTTATTAAGAGTTTATGGGACTTTGTATCCGGTGACATAAGGCAACATGCCTAGTTAATCCTGGTTGTCTGACTAGATTGAGAGACACCCACAGATAGGGTGAAACATCCTTCTGGGCGTGTCTGTGGGATGTTTCCAGAAACAATTAGCAAATGGGTGAGTGTTCAATCTTAGGGGGAAGGCCTGTCCTGAGTGTGAGCAACCTCAGACCAACAGTCTGGTGGCCAGGATGGGACAAAAAAAAAAAAAAAAAAAAAAAGAAAAAAAAAAAAATAAAAAAAAAAAAAAAAAAACAGGATGGGACAAAAAAAAAAAAAAAAAACAGGAAAGGGGGTAAGTCTGCAAATAAGCTTGGCGCTGTTTCAGCTGTGGTTTTTGCTACCATCCTCCAAAAAACATCAAAGTCTAGATTCTTCAGCCTTTGACTGTAGACTCTCAGTTGTTGCTCTCCAGGAGCTCCCAGGCGTTCAGCCATAAACTGGCTTGTGTCATTAGTCCCTGGTTCTGGGGCTTCCAGCTGGTCGGACTAAGTGGCTACCGGTTTTCCCAGATCTACTGCCTACAGATGACCAATGAAGGACTCTTCAGCCTCTGTTTGTGAGAGGCAACCTAATAAATCTTCCCATAATTATACATGCTTTATTGTTTCTGTTTCTCTGGAGAACCCGGACTCAGACAGGGCATGTGTGTCATGAGCCCGCTCTTGAAAGTATGAAAGAAGAGAAGTCCACAGTGTGGAGTCAAGTTCCCACGATTCGATAAGCAAGCTAATCATTTTCGCTATAATGTCTCTTTTGAGTGTGACCTTTGGAATTATAGAATAATGTGCAATCCACATTTAGTTGTGTTTTGGACATCTGTTATATTTGCCGGCCCACTGCGATGGCTTGGAACACGAATACTTGAGGAGATGGTACTTAGAAATGGGGCCTGTGGAAGATAATTAGATTTAGAGGATCCTATCAAAGTGGGGGATTTCTTGATGGGACTAGTGTCCTTATGAAAATTAGAAGAGACCCCAGAGCTCTCTTAGCCTTGAGGACACAGCTCCATGGTGACTGGCGAAGCTAGCCTTCAGCAGAACTCAGCTGAGCTGGTGTCTTTTGAATTTTGAAGATGCACAGCCATGAGGAAAATCTCTGTTTAAGCAACTCTGCTTGTGGAATATTGTTGTGAGAGCTCAAGCCAGGAAACCAGCGAGCAAATTCTCCCCTTGTTCTAGGAGGAGATTTTCTTCTAGGAGACTTTCCCTTTAGATTTTAGGTAGTCTTAATGGGACTGCCAATCACATTCCCCCACCCCATATCACCTGAACTAAGCAGATGAATTATACCAGTCTCGTTAGAGAGAATGGCACTAGCTGGCTTTAGTGTTTTGTTTAGTTCTGTGAGCTCCATAGTTTCCTTCCAATAAATTCCCCCTTTCTGCCCAGCTGAGTCAGAGCTTCCTCGAGCTGCTTGTGAAACTCGTTCAGAAATTGGTACCTAGAAGTGGGCGCTCCAAGCTGAGGACATAGCAGAATTAGGCAGGTGCAGGGCAGCAAGAAGTGTGCATTTCAGCTGAGAAGCCTGAAGCCAGCTGAAGCCAGCTGCTTTTCTAGAATGCCTGTTTTTATTTGTTTGTTTGTTTTTTAACTATATTTTTCCCTTTTTGCTCAACCTAGTTCTGATTAATATAAATTACTTATGCAAATACAAGACAGTGCACAGGTAAGACATTTCTTTTCTTAGGAGTTGTGTTTTTTTGTGTGTGTTTTTTTGGATTGTTGGGCTGAGTGAGGTTCTTGCTGGGTCCTTGCCTTGGAGCATTTTTTTTTTAACCTATTAGAGTAGCCTCAGGGAGCCAATACCTGGCTGCAAACCAAGCCTTTTGTTTTTACAGCCTTCATGCCAATAAATGAGAATTGGAAATTTAGGGTAGAGAAAAGTAGCCAACCAAACCCCTCCTTTGCAAGACCATTGTGCTAGAGTCTATAGAATTGAAAAGCGAGAGTGCAGAAGGCGGGCATAATAATAGGAATGATTACCGTTTATTAAGCCCTTACTA